CACACAGCTTCATTGTGTTTCTGCCTGAGTGGAAGAGCATATCGAAGCTGGAGGAGAGCATGTACAAGCGCCGTTCAATGGTTGTGCTGGGCATGGCGCACGAATATCGACATGGCTATCAGCACATGATGCAGAAGTATGTAGAATTTCAAAAATATATAAATATAAATATTCATTTCATTCACTTCCAACAGATCTGAGGTGCTCATTAAGTGCATGCAGGGCACTCAAGTGGTTTGGCTGCAGAATAGCGCCGGCTATGCGCGCTGGGGACCCAACGAGAATCGTGTTGAGGCATTGCGTGAAGCTTTTCGGCCACAGCGCGATCGTGAGCGCGAGCGTGCGGCTGCTGCAGCCGCTGCCACTGGCAGCAATTCCAATCACCAGCAACAGCAGTCGCCGCCGTCTTCAACGACGCAATCAACGGCCTCATCGTCTGTTGCCACACCTACACCTGCCACGCCCACAACAGCAAATAACATTAATAGCACTTCGGCAGCTGTGACCGTTGCCATCACAACGAGCTCTAACAGCATCGGCAGTCCCGTATCCACAACGTCTTCCATGCTGACGCCCATGTCGCCGCATACTCCGACCGGAACACCATCGCAATTCCCGCTGACCATCAGCAATACGAGCAGCAGCAGCAATTTGGTAGCCGCCTCGCCAACAATGAGCGTCCAAAGCGACTGCTCATCGCCGTCATCGTCGACGATGTCGTTGTCGCCTGCCCCAGCCTCAGGCGGCTATCCGGATGGTGGCACCACAGCAGCAGCGGCTGCTGTTAGCATTACGGCAACGGCCAGCACTTCGGCTGCAGCGACTTTTGGACCAACAACTAGCATTAGTAGTACGGCGGTTATCAATTCAGCTGTTTAGAGATGGAAAGGAAACCAATTATTGTAAACTATTCGTCTAAATTCTTTAAGCTAACAGTGCACCATGGGGCTAAGTACCACTTTTGTGTTTCCCTGAATTAGCTATTATACTTTAGGCATAGATCTTTAATTAATTAACACGAGGGACTTCAGTGTTTGGGACTTTTGTTTAATCTAAACAAAAGCAAGTTTCTGGAAAGTCAAGTTTATATTATCCGAGTGCCCTCGAATTTATGGTTACAAGTTTAAAGTTGAATAATTGTATATATGTTTTTTATTAATTAATAATTGTAACTAGCTGATACTTAACTACGGCCTGGCTGTTGTTAATCATTGCAATTGATCCCGAGCAAGGACCAAGCTGGCCCCACATACTAAAAGCAGAAGGTTCAGTTATGCATACAAAGTATGGGTAGAATGGGCTCCATTTATTCTTGATGATTGTAATTAAACAAATTAATTGTTTTCCAAAATCTTTAATACAACAATTAAAACAAATACATACACACACACATGAAATAATAAAAATCACGCACTGGCACAGATTTTTTATTCCGTGCTGCACCTTAACTTTATATATAATATATGAGTAAGCCCCAAACAATCTTTTGTGAGACTATAAACGTATAATTTAGGATTATAACTTAAAGCAAAACTAATTTATCGTATGTACAAATCGATAAAAATCTTTAAAATAAGTAGTTGAAAAAAAATATATAATTATACATATATATAACGGATCGCGCAGAGAACCAAATTTGTAATAAAAAGAAAAGAAAACAAAAGCAAATGCTACGCACCGCACAATGAACATAATATATAGTATACCTAGAATGGGTTTATCACAACAGAATCTATTGGTAGACCTTAAAACCAAACATCATTCAGCCCTTGAATGTTCATTAAAGCTGCCAATGGAAGCCATCGTGAATATGCCTAATACATTTTAATGGGAATTTAGCCAATTTAATAGAAACGTAGAAAAAAATAACAAAAAACAAAACAAAATGCTAATACAAATAATAAGAATCGGCAACTATAGATAAAAATTGAATTTTAATTATAAGTTTAAAAAATATCAACTAAGCTGAACTATCACCAGGCCACTCCAAAAACAACCCCAATAAACACACCACCCATCTACCGAATTCAATACGTTAGCCTTTTTTAAAAATACCTTCTTAAAAATCCAGCATAGATTAACAAATTGCATAATTAAAGTTTTTTTCAATTATTCAAACCTCTTTTTATTATATATATAT